CTCGGGAGAAGCCCAAATATCGGATTTCTTCTGCTCATTCTGGCCACCCCACTCAAACTGCAGAGCACTCTTGTCTAGGCCGGTTTGCTCGCAAAGTTTGTACACGATCTCTGGGCTGTGGATGAGATCGTGAGCATCTACCACAGGTGGTGCAACTGACACATCCGGCTGCTCCAGGCACCAGTCGTACAGCATACGAGACCAGTGCATGGTCATGTTCGTCAACGACGAACCCTTGATCCCATCCTCATCCATGTACCCTTCCTTGGCAATCTTCACCATCGCGCGGTACATCGATGGCCAGGAAAGAGCTGGGTGGCGGATAATGAAAGCATATTGCCAAGACTGCATATACTCATCGGACAAGATGGTCTCGTTGCCTGGAGACCAACTGCTCGGGCCGTAGGCCTCAGGCATATCCGACCGGAGCTCTTTGAAAAACTCGTGGTCCTCACAACCAGTCCTCATCTTATGAAGGGCAGCCGGGTTAAAGAACCAGAATGCATGTTCCTTGGCAAACATGGCCTTGTTGTTTTTCTGCGCCACCGAAGACTCATCTTCGAGGGCCTCCAGACATCCCTGGAAACCCTTCTTCACGGATTGCTTATCCTCTTGAGACCATTGCTCGGGTGATTTGGCCAAATGTCCGTTTTGGGCCGCAGATGAGAATGCGGGATAGAAGAAGTACCCGCCCTTTGGGCTGGAGTGAAACTGGGGTTGATTTTGAATGTTTAAAATCTTCAACAGAAGATTGGAAGCGGTGCGGGGCACCGAGATGAGTAGTAAACGGCGAGGGGTGGCGGGACTAGTGCTGGCCGCTGGGGGGGGTATCGGAGATAGCCATGGTCGAGGAAATGGATGGTATAGGGCTATGTAGAATAAGCTTAATTGGGCTGGGAGCAATGAGCGAGCGTGAAAATGACTACACTCTGGGGGCTGATGGCGTGATTATATAGTACGAGTATACTCGATCCATCAAAACTTGTCAAAATCAGCCTGCAGCTCCTAGTTTTCTGTGCAGTTTTACTAGGGCCCTAGCGCACTCGTCGCATTTACTGTTAGTAGGAATGACACATTTCGGTCTTTGACGGCGTGGATTAAGCCCGACGCGGTGGAGAAAGGGGTGTGCCGTCTTGGCTTTTGACTGGACTTCTGCATGTTGATCTTCACCTTCAAGAGATTACTTGGAGGGGGGTAACTGAGTAAAACATCTCGGCACTCGGACAGTCGGCCTTCCGACTAGAAACGATCGTGTGATGGGCTTACGATTATGGATGCCCGCTTCAACATGGATGTAACCGAGCCTGCATGTACCCAGGGCTTGTTGAGTATTCAAGCATCTTGGGGCCGAAATCCACAGCATGTCTGGTCCAATTAGGATGAGTTCAAGCGGATGACATTTTACCCAGCCCTTTCAATACAGTTTCAAGAAACAGGGCTATTCAAAGCAACCTTTGTGGAAACCTTGGAGCTCGGCAGACTCCGTATGGAGTAGAAGTCGGACTTATCATATTTCGGCCTAACTAAGCCCCGTTAGAGGCGTCTCCATGTGGAGTCAATTGATTCCTGGCAGGTGACCATACATAGGTTTTGAGCTTTTATTGGAGCACTTTACTTGAAGTCCACAGGCGAGTGACCATTGCGAGAAATATGTCAAGAAGAGATAGCTCTGTCACCCAAAACTGCGAAACAGAAAGAATATGGATGAGTAATTACAAGAGAATGGTCGTATTGAAAGCACCAATTAGTATCTGCAAGAGATAACTATTTCAAGAGAGGACATGGGCTTTGGAGATCACACTCACAATGGTATATGCATCAATTTTAGTCGACGACTGTGTGGGCCGCAAAGGCTGCTTTCGGCGTCGCTGTGGATGCTGTATAAGTCTGGCGTGAGACGAGCTCTTTAGGTGAGGCTTGGTATCGGTCACTGCACTTTTTCGTGGATGTTGCCGTGAAAATCGTGGTTTCGATATCAGTGAAAAGTCATTGGAGGCCATGATCGAAGCACCGCATTTGGTGTGCTGGGAAAGAAATCATAAATTAGATCCCAACTTCTATGAGTATCATATTTACCCTGCTACAATTTGGGGACTTACGGTGGATACCCAAAAAAAGGCCCTTTTGGTCTTATTATTCCCACTGAACACTCCGTGAGGGAGAAACAGATCGTTTCGATGATTGCCAATGCTAATATTTGAAGGGGTGAACCATGCCGATAGTGAATCTACGACAAGGGAAGTCAATTACCTTATAGCCAAACTGAATCTCCAAGTCTTTTTGCTGGTTCAATGAGATATCGTTGAAAATAAATTTATTATTGAGTAGGAGAAACCTTGGGATACTCAAAGTTAAATGCTCATAGAATAATTAATTCCTGATACTAGTACTTACGCGCTACTTATTTTCTCTCAGTGCTAGCATCATATTTGGTCCTTTTATAATAAAAGCATCCCTTCAAATACCCAAAATGCTCTATAAGTTCTTCTGTGCCAGGCTTTTGTGTTTCCAGAACTAGCTGGCAGATCCGTATAGCTGGTCAGTTGACCCTGTCTACTCGCACTACTACAGTCAGTCTATCTGAAATACCAAATATGCTATGCTTTGGTTCAAACTTTGAATATCAGAAAGAAGCACCAAATGTTTCTTTTCTTATTTTTATTTTTTTGTTATTGATCTCTTCATTCCCAGCCACCCATTCCCTCCGCCATTCACGTGATCGTCCTGCACCGGAAAAGTGCAGCACGATCGATTCAGCAGCTCCACAACTTCTCAGTCCAACACAGCGTGATTGTCAATCTTATTGGTGCACAATGGCAGCGGAGGGAGATCTGGGGGATTTGTTGGCCAAGGTGCTCCCCACCGGTGCCCAGATCACCGTCCGTCATGTTTCATCCACTCCCGCCCCTTCGGCAGCTTTGTTCGCAGCTGCACCGGGCCAGACTACAGAGGCAACTTTCTGCGAAAATCATTTCCTGTCGGTCTCAATTGACGCACCGAAGGGTTATGGGGAGCATGAAGGTGCGGAGATTATTGTCTTTGGCATGGAGGTGCTGGTCTATACCACGACCCACCTGACGACTATCTTCGTTTCCAAGGCGGACTCAACGGGCTTACTGCACTTGCTTAAGCTTCCCCATAAGGTATCAGTGCTGCGACTGGTCACAAACACATTTCTATCATATCTGGCACGCACACATCAGCGACCGGGGGTCCGATTGGTGATCTCTTTGTTCGCACGCGCCCAAAACCAGTATCTCTTCCCAGGTAGCATCGAGAACGCCGAAAAGCATGTCCTTGATGACCGCGGCCTTATCAAGTGGTGGTGCCGGTCAGCCGATACAATTCTCCGTGAGCATGAGCCTGAGTCCGTCTCCCAGGACTCCAAGCAACAGAGTGAAATGGGTGAAGCAGCCAAGGCATCTGCGACAGCTTATTTGATTGTCCCCGGGTGTGATCGCTTTGAAACCCGTACTTTCTTCCCAGCAACTGCCAAATCGGACCCTCAGGACCGTCCACGATGGTTGAGTAGCTATCCTCTCAAGCAAATGGTTCATAACCCCTCGGCTCCACCGCGATGCTTGATTCCCCGGCTTCCAGACGATCCCAAAACGCGCTTCCTGATCGATCTGGATGATGAGCTACCCGAGCCAGCGGAGGGTGAGAGTGAGGGTGCCGCCCCTCAAAATACTGGCCTGTGGCGAAGCGTTCGGTCTTTGGACCAGTTCTGGGAGATGATGTCTTTCCGGCAAGAGTGTTCGGCCGGCCGTTTAGTTGGATTCCTATGGCTTGTTATCAACCCTCCTGGCCTGATGAACTCGACAACTATGGCCAGTTGTTCACGCAGTACATTATCAGAACCAACTATTTCCACCGTTCCGGATATTCCCAACCCCTCCTTTGGTGATGTCTCGGTCCAAGAAGCCCCTGAGCAGTCAAAGACGGACAATACATCGCCGAATGAACCCACAGAGCCGACGCCTTCGGAAGATTTACTCGAAGTCCCAGAAGGATTGCCGTCCTCCTTTGACCGGCCTTCGACGTCACAATTCACCGACGAAAATCCATTCTACTGGCCCGAAGCCGGACGTGGACAAGTCATTTTAAGCGATGCCGACTACAAAATTATGATGGATGGCGTTTTAGATAATCTCTACAACGAGAAAGAAATTGTCACCAGCACCAAAGAATACATCGACCAGGTGGCATCTCTTGCCGACCAGCTTACATGGGGCAAGCAGGTTGTGGGCACCCACTCTCCTGAAAAGACCAATGGTGAGACGGCAGCGACAAACAACATTCTCGATAGCGGCCTCATCCGCAAGCGAAAGAAGTCAGAAAGTCAAGGCACCAACATCGATGGTAATGCATTGCAGCCAAGTGAGTCAGATGGAGTCATCGCTGCTCCATCTCAGCCAGCTCCTGTGAATGTGCTCAATGCAGGTTTGGTACGAAAGAAGAAGAAGACGTGAGATTACGATATGAACTTTGGGTTTTAATTTGGAATTTTGGAGTTTCTGGGGTATGGAGGGAAGCTTTTTTGCATCTGGCTGGAATGGGGAGATTTCTGTTATTCGTTCGATCTAAAAAACGCTGTTCAAATCAATATTCTCTCTATGAATCACGTTGGGCTGGTTTACAGCGGGATCTTGTACTATATTGGACATGTGTATGATGTCCCTCGGTGTATTGTAAGCAGCAAGGGAGTATAAAATCAGAGTCACGGTATTTCGAAATAAGTGCAATTGATAATAACATAGGAATAAATAAAATGAAGGCCATGGAGAAGAAGACTCGGACCAATGAATATAAAAACAAACAAAAGGTGTTGATAGCCTCGTGTTACCTGAAGGCGGCGGCCCGGCAAAAAAGAAATCCGCCGTATCCGAGCTGATCAGCTCGTAGACCTCTCCACCAACCCAACGGAAGTTGGACTTTCTCTCTATCCTCGTCCACGATCCTAGAATGTGCGCCTTGCCGGCACCCTCCCTCCATCTTTCATGCTAGTGCCGACCTTGCCGTTCCTCCAATCGCCCACCGATGGCGCTGTGTCCGTGTCCGTCGCGGCGGGCTGGATTGGTCTGATCTGGTACATCGCCGTGTTGGCCGTGTGCGCGTTGGGCTATTTCCAGATGTATGCCCTCTACCCCGATGCTCAATTCCCGCTTGTCTCTAGTTCATGAAAGGGTGACTAGACCACTAGCTAACCCCTCATTCGACATTGCAGATGGAGACACTTCTTGCGCCGACCGCGCCGTTCCCGTCTGGCGTCCGATCCCAATGCTCCCCATGTCACCGCGATTCGTCCTGTTAAGGGCCTTGAGCCACATCTTTACGATTGTCTCGCAGCGACATTTCAACAGCAATATCCGCGCGACAAGTTGACCGTCTGCCTCTGCGTCGAGTCACGGAAGGACCCAGCCTACCTGCTCTCTGTAAGCTGATCACCGATTTCCCAGATGTCGACGCGGGAGTCTATATTGAGGAGGAAGATCCCCTCTTGCAGGGCAGCGAGTCTGGTTCATATGCACTTGGACCGAATCCCAAGGTCCGGAACATGAGTCGGGCCTACCGTGAAGCAAAGGGTGATATCATTTGGATTATCGATTGCAATGTCTGGGTTGGGAAGGGAGTCTGCGCCCGGATGGTGGATAAATTATGTGGAACTGGAGCTACCCCCGGCCAGAAATACAAGTTTGTGCATCACCTGCCTCTGGCCGTGGATGTGACGGGGGAAAGCAATGTTCAGGAGCAACGACAAGCGCTCTTGGATGCTCGTCCCGAGGCCACGGAAGCCGAGATCGCCTTATCCTCTAGCCGGCCAGAAGACGGGCTGGCAAGTATGCTTGCTACCGGAGGCGGTCGTCTGGAGGAGCTGTTTCTCTCATCCGCCCACGCGAAGATGTACACCGCCATAAACACTGTTCTCGTCGCACCGTGCATTGTGGGTAAATCGAACATGTTCCGCCGTTCCCACTTGGACTATCTTACCTCTTCATCGACTGCCCAGCCCGAGCCCCGCTATCCTGGCATCGACTACTTCTCTGAAAATATCTGCGAAGACCACCTCATCGGGGATCTTTTATGGCGCCGAAAGGTGCGTGAGGAAAAAGAGCTCGGTGAGCACTGGGGCAAACACGCCATGGTCTTCGGAGACCTGGCAATACAACCTGTCGCAAACATGAGTGTCCGTGGATATATTGCGCGTCGAATTCGATGGCTTCGCGTTCGCAAATTCACCGTCTTGCTCGCAACACTTGTCGAGCCTGGCACCGAGTCATTTGTTTGCTCTATGTACGGCGCTTGGGGCGTCACGACCGCATTGGCACCGTACATGGAGCGCAAAGGAATAGAGCTTGGCTTGAACTTGTCCACTTGGTCCGCATTCTTTGCCTTTTTTACGTTGGGAATGGCGTTCTGGATTCTAGTCGATTGGACCCTCTACGTTAAATTACACTCTGCCAAAGCGATCGAATTGGATGATAACACGCCTTGTTTTGCACGGCCCGTTCAAGGCCGCTCTCAAACGACCCGTCGCACTTTCCTGCAGTGGTTTGCCAGTTGGTTAGGCCGAGAAATTCTCGCGTTGCCCATCTGGCTCATTGCTGTGTACGGCGGTGTGACTGTTGTCTGGCGGGATCGGCGTTTCAAGGTTGGATTTGATGCCAAGGTTAGGGAAATTGATACCGACGCTGTCTCGCCACAAAATATGGACGGCAAGGTGAGAAAAGTCCGACGTGATTGATACATGATGTTTTTATAGACAGGCGTCCGGTTGACTGGTCTTGGGCTGTAGAATATTGCACGCATACTTTTAGGCCCAAACAAAAATAGAATTTTGCATTTACCGGCATTTCCAAGCTAAATTTCCAAGGTTCTCAAGAAAATAAAAGAAGGTTCCACGTCCTCATTAGAAACGAAGTAAGATAGAATATTTTTGAACCAGCTGAAAACAACCAGTCCTTGTCTATTGATATTGCCAAATTTTGAGAAGAATGTAATCCGTGAACCAACTTAACACAGAAGTTCATTTATGCAGAGCTCTCGCCCTCCTTGGCACCACTCTCCAGGCCAGCAGACTTCTCCGAGCTGAGAAGCCACTCAACAACCTGTCTGCCTGCAGACATTTCACCAACCGACTGCTGGCCCTCGCCCTCACCCTGGGCCTCACCTTCATCTCCGCCAATGGTCATCTCAATCTCCTGGTCTCCGTTCTCGTTCTCCTCGACAACCTCCGCAGAGGCAGACCAAGCAGCGCGCTCAGCCAAGAACACGGCATCGTGGCCGGCATCGTTCTTGATAGCGACGTCCGCACCAGCTTCGACAAGAGCCTTGACACATTCCAGGTGCGTGTTCAAGGCAGCCCAGTGCAGCGGTGTGTTGCCGGAGTGGTTAGTGTGGTTGATGAAAGTCGTGCGCTGGGCGACACCTCCAGCGGAGAGCTTTTGGAGAAGAAAGCTGAGAATTTCTAGTACTAGAGTCAGCACGACGTATAATCTATATATCATGCGTGCATACAGTGTGTATGTATGAACACTCGAGGAAATGGATTAAAGGGCATTCAACATACCAATGTTGCCATTAGCGGCAGGGAAATGCAACACGCAAGATCCAGTGCCTCCCTCGCTCTCGTCCTCCATGTCGATGGCAGATGCGACGATCTGAGCCTCGGAGCAGCTATGTTGAGATGCAAGACTGGCGACATCGGCCGTCAAGGCCTCCAGATCGCCTGCGCGGGCATCGTAGATGAGATCATCAATAGACTCGGTAGGAAGTGCGATGGGCACAGTAGGCTTGGGCTTTGAATCAGAGGAAGCCATGGTGAAAGAAACCTTAGCTAGATCTGTTTTTCTATTCCGGGTCCTTCTTCGTGGAAAGTGGTTCGTTGATTCTTTTTCTGCCGCCACAGACAAGAATTCAATATGCGCTAGTGGGTTGTTAGTAGATGAATTGGAAGATAAGCCAGTGAATGGGTGTAAAAGACAAGTCGGGAGAAATGAAATGGAGAGTAGTGAGATCTGAGTCAAGGGTTCACAGCCCAATCATGCAAGTATTGTCATCAATCGCGAGGATCCCCGCGATTGCAGGAGTATGATAAGAGCACTGATCGGTGATGCATTGGATTTGCCATTCTACCACACTCTGACCGGGGTTGGGCTTGAAAGAAATAATAACACGCATGCTTTGAATATAACGGACACAAAGCCACAAATCGTACCTTTTGTGATTGACGCAATCTGGAGATTTCTTGAATTTGTGAAGTCTTCCCTCGCCGCAGAAACTTTGATATCGGTCTGCACGTGACTTGATGGCGGGGTTGCCCGTTTAGGGCGGGCCATCTATAAAATTTAAAAGCTTGTCATTAATGGTTTCTTGTCGGGTCCAGTGCAATATATCTGATCATAAACTAGCATAACTCATTAAAGTATCTCTTAAGTGGATATTAGAGGCACAAGGTCGGGCCATGAGATCATCTCGAGCAGAAAGTGTCAAGGCTATTTTTGTTACAGGAATTCTATGTGTATATGCAACCAATTAGATTTTGTGCTAAATATTAATGTTACAAATGCGAAAAAAGCAGCATAAGCCTTTGAGCCTCGGCAAAACTGCCTCTATTCGCATGCCAGAAAACCCAAGAATGCGCAAACGCCGCCAAACCCCACGCCCTGTGTGGAAGGTATCAAAAGCCCCATGATGCGAATGGTGTGTATGAGTAGAAGCAGAGGTGATAAGAGTAGCAAGCCAAACGAATCAATCCCGTAGCCATGCTCTGCGCTTCTCTTCCTTCTTTTCCCTTCGCTTTTCCTTGAACATCTTCAGCTCCTGCTTGCTGAGCTTCTTAGCGCTTCGCTCCGCCCGCAAACTCCGCCCGTCATGGTTGTTGGCCGCAGCGTCAACGTCGAAGAACGCATTCATTTGTCGGAAGGACTTGTTATCCTGGCTGTGGTTCTCCGAATTGATTGATCCAGCTTGCCAACGACCAGTAAAACGATTGAATGTACCGGCAGCACCATACGCGGCAGTCGGATCAGCCGCGGGACCACCAGTTTCTTGTGCTTGTACTTCATACTGCTGCGCATAGGACGCGGTCGGGTCGTAGTCACCGTGGATGGCGGGATTGTAGCCACCAAGCACGGGCGCCTTTTTCTCCGAAGGTTCTTCGGGGGCTGGAGCTCCTTCGGTGGGCACGCGAGGATTCTCCCATTGTGACAATCCAGTGATTCGGTTGAAAAAATAGTATGCCTGGTTGTTGGCATCCCACACGGGTTCCCAGCCATCGTCCTCGCCTTGGCCGGGCGGCGCTTCATTGGGGAGGGGTGGAGGGACTTCGTCGGGCAAGGGAGGCGCGGATGTATCTTCATTTTTGGCTTCTTCTTGGTCGTCGTTTTCTAACTCCTCCTCGTCTTCCTCCTGTTCCGGGGTATCCTGGTCGTCGTTATCGTGGTCTTTCGTTGCTGTTATCTGCGTCTCGGATTTCTGCTCGACGACGGCCTGCGGCGGCGACGGCACTGGAGAAGTGCCGGCGCGCTCCTCCGCAGCAGTCGCGGTATCCTGTAAAGCTTCCGACATCCTAGGTAGCGGTCAACACACACCTGGGCACCTCTTGAGTGAGAACTAGGAGATGCACAGGTTCGGGAGCGTTGCTGCATGGGGAGGCGGTTAATGTTCCAAACCAATGGGCGGCGCCCAAATCCTCACCGCCCTGGCGCAAGGCTCAAGACGTACGAGTTGGATAATAGTTGCATAAGATTCAAGCTGTAGAAATTTTCAATTTTGACTATAGACTTGAGAAAAAATGCCATGTCATTTCTTGATAGATACAGTAGACTAAATTAGAACCCGAAATGTGACTCGGGATGGGTGTCAAGGTTCTTCAAAAAGGTTGGTCTGGAGGGCTAGCACTGCGGCATTAACTACTACTACTAATCCTGGAACCCACGCGAGTATATATATCGACAACAGCCACTGGCATCCATGGATTGTAAGGCCATCTTGGATGTACACCTGCCAACAGGCTCAGGATCACCTGGGCAGACATCCCAACTATTTGTATTACCTGAGCATTCATTTACAATTTTTCTAAGCCCAGATCAAAAGTATTTTAATGAAATTTGTAAATAGTGCACCTGGGCATGCCCGTGAAATCATACTAGTAGTAAAAAATAATGTACTCCAGGACTACCACAATGTTTGATGATCGCCAGGGCACCAGGGTACTTGGGAGCAACTTTAACAACTTCGAAAAATCCAAGCCTTTCTCATTATAAACCATGGAAGCCATATAATTCCGATCTGGACTACTTCATAAATTCTTGGTTTAAGAGAATCATGATTGCCGGACAGAATAATTTCAAGTGAACTGTGAACTATCCAGAATTGCATACTACGTCTATATTTACCTCGAGAACGAAATTATTGACTGAACTATGCAAGATACTACCAAGTACTAAGATAGCTGTAAATGATTGAACAACTTAGCGCTCAAATAAATTGGCCTTTGCCAGTCGAGAATTGCAAAAACTTCTACCATTCCGCTGGAAAGGACAAAACCTGATTTGCATGTACATAGTAGTAGAACCATACATATGCTCGACTAGACAACTATGTATCAGGGTAGGGGATCAAGTAGAGGCAAACCGGAACAGGGGTCTCGGATTGTCAGTCCATGTATGGACCAAGGAAAAGAATTCCGGAATATGAACGCTACTCTCTTGTAACACTTGGTACTGCGGATTAGGGCTGAGGATATTACCTGCGACGGAGGCTAACAATCCTCAATCTATTGTTGTGACTCTGGATCTCACATAGTCCGGCCTGGGCCTCTGAAGAGACGTAATTAAGCAGCGTTGCGGTGCTCAATTCTTCCTTGTGGCCCAAGGGTGTGAAACAATGAAGGGAGGACGGGAAAGACATCCCTATGGCTGAAGCCCGGCAAGTGGGTGATGGGCGTGCTCCCTTGCAGCAAGATTAACCATGCGTCACCACCCTCCACAATGTTTTGGGGTACTTTCGCTGAGTAGCACGCTTCTGACCACTCTCTGGCTTGTAGGGCCCGGTTACATGCCTTAGTTCCCGAGAGCCTGCAGGGTCATCGCGGAGGAGACCACCAGCGGATGCCTCCCTGCGGGGGCTGGGTCAGGAACAGGGCCCAAATGATCTACTCAATAAGGTACCTGATTCAAAATTAAGAACCATTGGCTATTCGGGGAAACTCCCTTGTTCGATACTATCCAATGAGAGATATGTTTTGGATGATCCAACATAATTTCAAAACTAACAGGCAACACTATCATCGGTCTAAATCAATGGGGAAAAAATACCGAATCAGAATATTGATAAACAAACAAGCAAAGCTAAAGTGTTGATGGTTCTAGAGTTCTCGAACAGGCCGGAGCGCAAGAATGCCAGGCCAAATGACCCGGCGCGTGAAGAGAGTCTAACAGGCTTCGTAGATCCATACCAGGAGGCCCTGAAAGTGGAGTGATCCTCCCTTCCCTTTCCTTACCGATCGCATTCCGAGGAGGAGATTACGATGGAGGAAGTAAACAGGCTCTAAGTGAATGAATTAAGGAGCCCACATACCACCACTGAAATGTATAAAAGCGTCTTCCTTCAGCGCCCAACTATTCCTTTCTTCATCACGCATCACTCTCTTTAACTATCTCTTTCTGAGCAGTCTTCTCTTCTTTCTCAAGAAAATCATATCTTCCGAGAACACCTTTCGTTCAAACCCAACCCCACCGA